CCCCCATCCACTTAGTTACTCAACCAAATAACCCAGCCTCTTGTTATCCATCTGCTTTCACAAAATTACACTTCGATACAGTTCTTAGAGATTTACCTTCGATGCTTCAACCTTGCTCAGGAAGGTTAAACGGCATCAATTTTCAGGAAATGATTTTGGAGCTAGTTTTAACATTTCTTTCACTTTTTCCTTATAATTACAAAGTACACAAAAGAATCATTTGGTTGAAAAGGACAAAGTGAGCAAGAGAAAGGGAGATGCCACACAAAAGATGAGAAAGTCGTTCCTTAGTCAACAGCTTTGTCAATTCCCAGATCCATCTCTTGAAGGCCATGCTGCATCCAAGTGCTCCTCATGCAGAGGAAACCCCCTAGGGTCAGATACGGGGCTGCAGAGTCCAGGCAAGGAGCAGCAGCAAAAGCCTGTTTAACAAGAGGAAAACACAACAGGAAAATACCGTGGAAATAGAGATGGATGGGATCAAGGAAAAAGGGTATTAGCTGGTTATCCTCTATGGGTCAAAATAAAGAGAGTGACTGGCAAATGACTGCCTGTAGGACAGGCAATGGGGGCAAGAAAAATTACAAGCGTTTGTAAAACTGAAATTGCTACTGGGCCTATGGCTACATCCAAAAACACTTTGAAGCTCTTTTCATGCAATGGCTGTCATGGGAGGTAATGGGCAAAGAGGCCCCGTAACACCCTGCTCAGGCTTTCAAGCTGAGAAGGATTTACGTTTAGAGGGCAGATTGGGCAAGCGGTGTGTGACGCTCTTCTGTCTCTGCAGGACTCTGCCTCAGAGAGTAGATGAATCAGCACGGATTCACCAAGGAGAAGTCATGTTTGATGAACCTCATAGCCTTCTATGATGGGGGTGACTGGACAGTTGGGACAAGGGGAGAGCCGTGAATGTTGTCTATCTTGACTTAAGCAAGGCTTTCGACACCATCTCCCACAACATCCTCATACAGAAGCTCTGGGAGAGTGAACGAGTGCACRGTGCGGTGGATCGAGGGCATGGCTGGATCGCAGAGCTCAGAGGGTGGTCATAAATGGGGCCGAGTCCAGTTGGAGGCCTGTGGCCAGTGGTGTCCCCCAGGGGTCAGTGCTGGSCCCGGTGCTGTTCAATTTGTTCATCAATGACCTGGACGAGGGCACGGAATGCACCCTGAGCAAGTT